CAGCCACATTTTCTGCTCTGCTTCCAGCCTCATGAGCTCAGTATGAGAACTGGCACCAGCCTGGTTGAATGGTGGGTGCGGAACACTTGGTGCACCTGCGGCCTGGGGACACAGGCCTTTGCAGCTCTGGTAGCCCAAATGCCTTCCAGTCGTTGTCTTTTTTTTTTTTTTTTTTCAGAACCAGGGATTGAACTCAGGCCCTTACGCTTGCCAGGGAAGCGCTTAATCCACTGAGCCATCTCCCTGGCCCCCTTGTTGTTGTTTTTAATCATGTGTCCTCGAGATGTGTGATCAGACTGATCCCATGGAATATTGTTTGCATAGGTCAGCAGTGGCTGCATATTGGCATCCTACAGTTCAACCAAAGTTGTTCTCAGTGGGAGGAAGCAAACTAGTGATAGCACTGCTAGCCACTGAATTCTCAGAAGCTAGGGTCCAGATAACCCCATGCTGGCGGGGTGTGCTGGCACACACCTGTAATCCTAGCTCTCAGGAGGCTGAGGCAGGAGGACTGCTGCAAATCTGCGGTTCGACTGGACTACAAAGTGAGTTCTGGACCACTCTGACCTGTGTAGTGAAACCCTGTCTCAAAAAGAGAAACAAAACAAAACAATAATCAACCCCGTGCTATGGAAACATTTGGTAAGTATACAAGGAAGGCTAAGGCATGTATTCGCGCGGCAGTCGGTGCTTACCAGAGAAACAGACTGAATAGGAGAAGCGGCACTATGTGAGGATTTCCAAGACTGGCTCACAGTGGCCACTGTGGAGTCACGGGTGGAAGCCTGCAGAGGCTCTGTTTGCATGCGACAACCCCACGGAAGCAGTCAGAGGCCTGGCGCTGGCTGAGGCGTCCTGAGTGAGTCTGAGTCAGGAGGCTGAAGGGTCTGCCCTGGAAGCCAGGAGATGGGTTCCCAGGTAACAGTGAGGCTGAACTCCTCTGAAGACACAGAAATCAGCGTTCCCTTTTCTCTTTCCTTTTATCCCATTCAGCCAAGGAGCATGTGGCTGGTGGCACACATACCCGGGGAGGTCTTCTGTCCTCAATAAATCCCTTCAGAGGGCCAGCAGATTAAAATAAGCCAAATAGCTCAACAGATTAAAGTACCTGCAAGCAGGCACAGGGGCCAGGGGTTCAATCCC